GGTAGCACATACACACCCACACCCACACCCACACCCACACCCACACCCACACCCACACCCACACCCACACCCACACACACACCCACACCCACACCCACACCCACACCCACACCCACACCCACACCCACACCCACACCCTCAAAGAAATCAGCAGAAATCAATAGAAATCAAGAAATCAGTTTGTTCCCCCTTGGAAAAAAGTCGGAGCGAACTACACCCACATCCAGTCCCTCCGATACCAACACATCTGCACCAAACAAAATTTCTGTATTCTGTACTATTTACCTGATAGAGAAGCACACTTAGAATTTTTTGGTCAAAAAAAAATACTCAATACTCAACGCAAAAATGTATTCTCCCGTTATGATTCTCCCAGTGAGAGTATTGCATTTTTGTTTCATTATTGCTAGAAGAACGACACATTGCACTAGCAAAAAGCAATTCTCTTTTCTTTCCTTTATCGAGAGTAGCGCTGTGCTCATTACTCACTAAGAGAAAGATTGCTGGGTATTTTTTATACTTTTGTTATATATATAAACGTTCTCATTTTCATTCATTGAATAAAGCTCTTACATCATTTAGTAGTTTTATACAACGAAAGCAAGTTAAACTTTGGTTCTCTTTGCAATGGAATAATGCTACAACCAATGTATTGCTTATTATTTTTTCATTCTAGACTTTTTACGAAACACATCATGTCATCTATTCCATGCAAATCTAAGGATAAAGATGATGAAAAGAACTGTTTCGGCTCTCATGAATCAACAGCCCGACGTGCTGGTGTTAATCCAACATTATGCGAATATGGCGAAGATTGTCGAACAAAAAATTCTACATTTACACATTTAACGTCACCAAAAGGTCTAGCCACAACTACAAAAGCTAATTGCAATTATGATGTGAATTGTACTCGACCAGGTTGTCATTTCAATCATCCTAATGGAAGATTAATTGACCAGAAAGCTGTCTCTTCATCAGACAGCACTCAGCAGAATACTGCACCTAATCATGCTGTTCTCTCGTCATCTCGTTTAGAATATCATGAGCATCAACGTCGTGATTCATCACAATCTGATACTTCATCCAGTAGTCATTTTCGGTCTCTTTCAAAACATTCAAGGCCAGCAAAAGGCGCAACAGCAACTACAAAAGCTAATTGCAATTATGATGTAAATTGTACTCGGTCAGGTTGTCATTTCAATCATCCTAATGGAAGATTAATTGATCAGAAAGCGGTCTCTTTATCAGACAATACTCAACCAAATACCGCATCCAGACGTGCTATTCCTTCGTTACTTCATTCAGAAAATCGTGCTCATCATATTCAATATTCTTCAAAAACATCGGATATTGTTGATCAAGTGCTTACTAATATTCATACTAAGACAACTAAGACTACAATCCATGAAAAAAGTCAACGACCATCCGGTAGTGAACTAATTGAAATGATTAGTAAATTATTAGCAAAAGCAAATGAACAGCAGACGGAATTTGATTCTAATGATCAAGAATGCAAGGATAGTGATGATGAACAAGTACTTGATGATCTCCGAAAGAATGTATCACAAGAATTAAGATTACAAAGAAATGAATTTCAGTCCACCATCGACACGCTATCTAATGATTACATGGACATTCGTTCGTCGGCAATAGATACCGAATACAACGTAGTGCAACTTGAGTGTATACAAAACAAAATTGAACGCGAATTAAAACGTTGGCAATTGCGCCTTCCTATATATGCAAGACGCTCAGATATTATGGAAAAACTAGAAAGAAATCAAGTTTTTATTTTAAAAGCTGATACAGGTTCAGGAAAGAGCACACAGACAGTGCAGTATCTATGTGATGCTAATTTTGCTGATGAAAGTAAATTTTTAGATTCTTCTTGCATTCTGCTGTGAATTTCTAATAAAAAATAGCTATTTTAGAACAAATCATATGTACTCAACCACGTAAATTGGCAGCACGATCTTTAGCTGCTCGAGTAGCCGAAGAATACGGATGTCAGATTGGTGAAGAAGTAAATAAATGATCTATGATATTCATTTCTATTTTTTCTTGACGTATACTTTAGGTTGGCTTTCACGTAGGTGGTGGTCGACCTACAACTTCAAAGCGAACCAAAATAAAATTCGTTACCGATACACTCTTTCTCAATGAATACAAAAATGATCCAATGTTATTAAAGTATTCAGTCGTTCTGGTGGATGAAGCACACGAACGAAAGATCGATACAGATATAGTACTTGGATTAATGAAACAATGTTTGAAAAAAAGAAAAGATTTAAAGGTTAGTCACATAAAAATTGAATTTCTAGACATATTGTACTGTATGTCTTATACGAATTTTAGCTCGTTGTCATGTCCGCTACGTTAGATATGGATCTGCTTTATAACTATTTTGCAAATGACTTTAAATGTGATACATTAGAAGTTGGTGGTCGAACCTATCCAATCGAAGACTTTTATCTAGATGATGATGTTGAAAATTACATTCAAGCATCAGTTACAAAAGCAGTTGAAATACATCAAAGTGATGAAATTGGTGATATCTTAGTATTTTTAACTGGTCAAGATGAAATTGATTTAGCGTTGGCTGATTTATGTAAGAAACTAGAAAACGATAAATCATATATCGGTTTGCCATTACATGGAAAATTGTCCGAAGAAGAGAATGCGCAAATATTTGAAAGTATGCCAGATAAACGTAAAATTATTTTCAGTACAAACGTAGCAGAAACATCTGTTACGATTGATGGAATTAAGCATGTAGTCGAAAGTGGAATGGTAAAAGAGAAAATGTGGGATGAGAAAAGAAAAATGCAAATGTTAAAGATTGGACAGATTACGAAAAGTTCAGTTAAACAACGACGTGGACGAGCCGGAAGAACATCGGCTGGAAAGGTAAGAAAATGATTAGTTTAGTCGTAGAATCCTGTGGAAACATTTAAACTCACTATTTAAGCATGAAATACGATATGCAATGAACGTTGGAGTGTATAAAACAAAACTTTGTACACAGAAATCATGATAAAGATAACTACATATGTTGAAGAAAATAGGGAAAAGAGTGAATATCTTATATGGTCGACAGGCTTTGACAAACAGAAATAATTGATAAAGTTCCTTATAGCTTTATAGACTTTGCCAAATATTTCGATAGTTTAATGTATCTAATCATTGAAAAAACAGAATCAACGGGTGAAGAGCGCTTCTTGACCATAATGGTAGCATTGTTAGTAATTCAGTCATTTCTTTCTGAAAAGAGTTTTGAAGCATATATCTAATTTGCCAAGGCGTTCAAAGATCTCTAGAGAGACTTAACTTTTCATAGTTGAGTGGGTTTACGTGTTATGAACACTGACATTCACATTTACTCGTCACATTAATACACACTTATGTGCCATAGTCTAATAGGAATTACGCTTAAACCTTTTACTTATCTTTCCAGTGCTATCATTTATATACGATGGAAACTTATGAAGCGATGGATGCTTGTTCACGTGCAGAAATTCTCTGTACTCAACCAACAATTGCCATATTGAAATTAAAGCATTTAAATATTGATAATATAGAATCATTTGAATGGCTTCAGTCTCCACCTGCTTCTAGTTTACATGAAGCCTGTCAAATTCTTCTTTGGCTGAATGCACTGGATTCACAAGGTAAAATGACACCCCTTGGTCAAAATATGGCTCGTCTTGATATTGATCCAAGATTAACCGCAATGTTATATAAAGGACAAGAACTTAATTGCCTATCGTACACATTAATTCTAGCAGGAATGCTAACTGTATCACAGAATGTTTGGTGGAGTAGTAAAGATCAGGAATCGAAGGACACGGCTACACGAGCACGTGCTGCATTTAGTCATGAAAGTGGCGATCATATAACATTAATAAATGTATATTTAAAATGGAGCATATTTTGTGTCAATAATAAAAATAAAAAACAACAAAATACATGGTGTAAGAATAACTCTATTAATGCAAAATCATTACAACTGGCTCAAAATTTCATCCGAGAAAAAGCCAAGCAAATGGACCATGAAATAGAACTTTGCTATAGTGAAGAGTTAAATGAAGATATTATTGGTCGCATTCTACAATGTATAACAGCTGGTAATTTTATGAATTTAGCTATATCAAATGGACCATTCAGAGCTGGCTATCAAATTATTTCTGCCTTTTCCCAAATGTCTAATGATCCAGCAGTAGCGCGTGTATTTCGTACATCCTCATTATGTTTAAATGATCAAATGCCTAAATATGTTTTCTTTAATGAATTATTAAATCTCAATGGAACTAACTATATTACAATTTTGTCTTCAAGTAATTTCGACTGGCTAAAATCTGTCTCCCGATCATGGTTTACTGCTGTGAATGGAGATAATTTACAAGCAATTTCTTATGAAAGCTGTGCATTCGAAAATATCGGCGCAACTCTACTACGAGCTATTGTTGGTAAACGAAATTGTAATTTGAATAAGCTTGAAGAGACAGCTCAAGCGGTTATTGATATCGATTATAAGCAATCAAGATTAACAATATGGTCACGTAAAGTTAATTTGGAAAAAGCAAAGAAAATCGTTCAAGAAGTAATTCAGAAAGAAAACAACAACTACTCGTAGAAGCTGAAGAAATACACATTATAGGGAGAACTCGTATTTTAATGGGTGCCGGAGGTATTACTCAAATGGTTCTCCTTGGAAATGATTATATTAGAATCATAATGACTAAATTGCCAACAACAATAACGGAAGAGAGAATTCGAGATTTATGTGAACCATTTGGACAGAGTAAGTATGCAAGATTTATTCAAAGTCTTTACCCTCAATAGATCATGAAAGATGTAGATATACGATCGTACGCTATTTCAATAATAGCTAATTTTAATATGTGAAATAGTTTTTTAACTGTAATCCTGAATGATTAAATGATATGATGAAGAAGAAATTGGTTGTAAAATAGGCCAAATAAAGTAATCTCCTGTGATAGCCAACATGAACTCGACTGCATTTCGCATCATAGGATATTTAAAATATTAGAATTCATGTTAAAACCATTTTGTCTACTTGTATTTTAATTATTTTAGTTCGTAAAATCGATTTCATCCGACACAATGAAAACAGCTCGTGCGTAGGAGTGACATATTCAAAAGTCGAACAAGCACGTCTCGCTTTCAGTGAATTGAATGGTTATATTGAGCAGGGTCGCGAAATCACTGTTAGCGATTCATGTTTGAAAACTGAAGCAACCACAGGCAAACAAAATTGTCGTCTCAAAGCTATATGGTATCTAACACAATCAACTGGAAGTGGAAGGATTACTTTTCGACAAGAAAAAAGTGCACTCGATGTATATGACCTGTTTAAAAGGCTACCATTGAAATGCTCATATGAACGCTCAACTGATGCTCCTACAATGAAAGTTATCTACTATCTTAGTGAAAATAACGGAAAAGCTTTTATTAATTTTGGCACACTTAAGCAAGCACAAGATGCTGTCAGATTGGTGAACAATCCATTAATAACACTTGCACAAAGTACACGAAATAGTACAGGATCCGTTCTATTCCAAGGATTTTCAAAAGATTTTGACGAAGAAGATATACGCAATAATTTTCAAGCTTGCAGTGGTATCGTTGATGTACAGGTTCTACGCGGTGGAAAATGGAAGATCATTAGAAAACCTGACTCTGCTGCAGATGATATCAAATCGATATTTAATCGCTACAAATCGTTTCAACAGGATTCAATAATATTTGACGATAAGATATCTAATGGTAAATTAATAGCATTCGTTGAGTTCTTAGATATTACCGAACTAAAACAAGCAATCGAAGAAATGAGTGGAAAAACAGGAATAATCGGTTGTAGTAAAGTAAGATTATCTGAACGAATTCAACAAAAGAGAGAGGAAAGAAAGAAGAAGAAAGAAGATGAATATGTTATTAAACTGCAAAATCTTGATAGATCATGGGATAAACATGATCTTATCAAAATTTTAAAAGAAAACCAATTATATGATGACGTAAAAAATGTTACGATTTTTCGTCAAAAATTAGAAAATAAAACTTCTACAACTATGAAAACTAATGCTACTTCGGAAGAGGAGGATATTGGTTTAGTTGGTCTTCGTTCTATGTTTCTTAGTACAAAAGGTTTATTTCATTCCGTACCAGATTGTCAGATTCCATCATGCACACCAGATGGAACCGTTACAGCACTTGTTCTTTTTGATGATCCTACTGATATTACAACAGCTATACAAACCTATGATAATCAAGTAATTCAATTGTTTAAAGGTTCAAGTAAAGTACGTTTGATTCCATCGATGGCGCATGAAGTATTTATTAATGCAGCCTTGGTAAAGGCTATTCCAGATAAAATTGAACTAGCAACGCAATATGTTCGTGAGAAATATAAAAGACTTTATATTAAAGCTTTCTCATCAGAAAAGAGGGAGAAAGCAACTACGATGAAAATAATAATCGATGGTGATGACATAGAACAGATAATAATGGCTAAAGTTACACTTGATAATTTGATGAAGGGTATGGAATATAGTTTTGAAGCTGATCCGGAGAAGGTAAGTTTACGAAGAAAGCTTCTAATTATCTGATCCTTTATTCCACCAAACTCAGTGAGATTTACCTAATTGATTGTACTGATTCGCAAATATCAATACAAAGTCGACATCTAAGATTCGAGAGGTCTATTTTAAAAATACAGCTTTTGATGAAAGAATTTTCTCATTAGGAAAAAATCTTTTTCTAGAAATGAGTCTCCGAACTTCTAAGTTCCAATGAAGTATTCAGATATAGAATTAGCATCATTAATAACCTAAAAAGCATTCACTTAATTAAGAAAATGATTAGACCGTTAGAAGCTATCGTTTTTTTATTCATTTTTATAACACCTAGATTTTTCACAAAAGACCACATTACGGTTTTCTTCTAGACAAGACTCATCTTTGATCGTGCCGGCACGAAAGTACTAGGAAGAATTCAAAATGAAACTGGAACTTATATTTGGTGGAATTATTCAAATTCTTTTATACGAATTTATGGCAATGATCAAGCGTCAAATATAGCTAAAAAATGTATAGACGATTATATCCGAGATATTATAGAAAATAAAAATTCTACAATCATATTAGAAATTCCGCCTGGTAAGTATTTGTCTAAACATCTAATACATTGTCTCTTGAGTTTATGACAAATCAACAATTTTTCATTTTATGAGCAGGTTATATACGTCAAGTATTAAAAATAAGTGAAACTTATCAGGAAACAATTGGAAATGAATATAAAGTTGAAATTAGTACATTAGTTGCTAAACGCCAAATACGAATTGTAGGTAAAGAACAAGATGTAGCAAAATGTGAAGAAGCCATTAAGAAGAACTGGTCAACTATACTCGTGGAGCAAAAATCACCATCTAAACAACTCACAGCTATGAACACTATTGAGTGTCCGATTTGTTGTGATGTAGCTAATTATTCTTTACAAGCGTGTGGACATGCTTACTGCCTACGTTGCCTTAAAACACAACTGTCGACAAAGTTTGATACAACACTAAGTAATGAGAGTCTTATGATAAAGTGCATGACATCAAAATGTGATTCGTCACTTTTGTTACGTGATATTAAAACAATAATTGATCCAAACAATCTGCCTAAATTAGCACGAGCATCATTTCAAGCTTATTTGAAATTCAACAAAGATATAGTGCAATGCATTGGTACTGATTGTAAACAAGTAAGAAAATAACTTTCTTGTGAGCAGTTTTTGTCGAGATGTGTAAAAGGCTAAATATCAGTAAACAATCCGAAAACACTAACAGAAAATCCTTTTCTTATCGGAGTGTTAGAATTCGTAATCTAGGGGAGAGATAATGGGAAACGAAGTCCATCATGACCTAACTCAATCTTAACAAATGATCTACTACCAGATCACTGTTTTGACAGTTATATTAATTGTATAGGCATTGCAACAATATCATCCACTCATTTTAATTTCATCCTCTGATAAAAAAGAGGCAATAGTGTTTCAAAATCGATTTTCATTGAGGGAAAGATTCTGCTTTACAAATATGAAATCCAACTTCTCAGAATAAAATGCTTTACTTGAAAGATAAATCGAAACTTATTTTAAAGTCGAGTAAAATATAAACATTCAAATGAAATGTGAGGCCGTTTTGCTTTCTAATTAGGTGTATCAAAAATCCAAACATTCGCAATCATACTTTTGCAATGTATGCCTAAAAAATTATTGTACTAAATGTGAAGTTGAATATCATGTCGGTATAACTTGTGATAGATATCAAGCACTTTTAAAATTGAAACCAGATGAAAGACTAGCAATGCACAACATAGGTAAGTCGACATCTTCGGAAATTAAAACACTTCTTATATTTGAACATCATGATCATGTCTTTCTTTTGGATTTAAAGGAAGTCTCAAATTTAAACCATGTCCTGCATGTAAACAAGTAATTGATCGATACACAGGATGCAATGCAGTCAAATGCAAATGTGGCATTTCTTTCTGCTGGCTCTGTCTAAAGACTGATCCTCACGATAGTAAGTTGATTTCGTGTGACTGGACCCACACGAATAAAAATTAGTCCATATTGATTTGGTTAATCGAAATTTCTTTTCTGTTTTTTAGTTCACTACCATTATGGTGAAACGGATTCACCGTGTTTTGGAAAATGTTTTTCAGAACCCTAAGGTCCTGCAACTGGAAGTAAAAGAAGAAGACAATAGCTGCGGTGAAATCTGAAGATAAAAATGACACTATCTTTTTTTCAAATCACGATTAGCTTTACTTCTTGAAGAGTCCGACTCTTTGCATGCTTCTTTTTTCAAATAATATATTTCGGTCTGCCCAATAGTGACGAAATAAAGTCTTCTCACTTTCTTTATTAAATATCTCATCACGGCTATATCCAATAAGGCTACTATTTTGGAAATACATAGAGATTGGACTGCTCTACACATTCGCAAAGTTTGGGTGTGGGTGTGATTGGGTTTTTGTGAGTGTGTGGTTGTGGGTGGGTGTGTATGTGAGGGTGGGTGGTTGTGAGTGTGGGTGTGCGTGTCGGTGTAGGTGTATGGTGGGGTATGGATGTGCTTGTGGGTGCGTCTGGATGTGGGGTGGGCGTAAGTCAGAGTTTACACATCTTATGTCATACCCAAACCTACCCACACCCACACCCACACCCTAGACTCGTTTATTTATTTTTTGAACACACACTAATGTCATCGTATACTGATAAAAAAGACAAACAAACGTGGTACACGTTCTTGTATGGTTAGGACATAACTGGAAATTAGAGAGCACAAAAAAAAATTCACGAGCAGAGAAAAGCAAAACAAAGAAAAGGCATCGCAAACGCTGTGTTCTAGTGTGATCGATACATTTCATAAGAATTAGTCATTTGTTACACTATTTTTGTCTTTTCTTTCTTTCTCTCTGATAACAATGACACATCATAAATGCTGGTTTATTATATAGCGATACAATATACTTGTAATAAGTATCCTTTTCAGTAAACAAAAAAAGAATGAGACAATGTATTGTTAATGTTAACAGTACTTCTTCGACCAAGCCGACCATGAAACTGTCGGTACAAGTAAAATAATATTTTTAATGATGTTCAACATGCCATACAAGGTTCTATTGTCGGCGCCAGAATTAAATAGGGGTGGGTATAAGCTCAATAACTCGACAACCGCAATAGCTAGCGACCTGCGGTTTTCGTCAATCGAAAGAGGAGGAGTTGGGACGCCTTTTTCTCTGATAATGTATAAGACGAAAACCTTTTAAAACTAATCATATTCGAAAAGCATGCAAAAGAACCCATGAAAATGATCTGCCAGCTCGATGAAATTTAGATTNTGTGGATGTAATGAAGCGACACTGCGAGGTAATGGTGTTAGTCGAACATTATGCAAATACGGTGAAGAATGTCGAACAAAAGCTTGTACATTTACACATTTAAAGCCACTGAAAGGTGCAACAGCAAGAAAACCTGATTGCAAAAATGATGTGGATTGTACTCGACCTGATTGTCATTTCAATCATCCTAATGGGCGATTAATCGATCAGCAAGCGGTATCTTCATCTAACGTTACACAACAAAACACTGCAACTTCCCGTGTTATTTCCTCGCCATCTCAATTACGAAACCGTTCTCATCAACTCCAGGATTCACCACAATCTGATACTTCATCGTATAGTCGTAGTGGATCTTCTTCAGCTCATTTAAAGCCACTGAAAGGTGCAACAGCAAGAAAACCTGATTGCAAAAATGATGTGGATTGTACTCGACCTGATTGTCATTTCAATCATCCTAATGGGAGACTAATTGATCAACAAACGATCTCTTCATCTAACATTACTCAAAAAAACACTGCGTCTAGCCATGTTATTTCCTCGTCACCTCATTTACAAAAACGTGCTCATCAACGTCATGATTCACCACAATCTGATACTTCATCGTATAGTCGTAGTGGATCTTCTTCAACAACAGGGGATACAAGAATACCCATTTCTCGTCAAGGTACAAAACTTGAACAGTTAGTCTGCGCTTCTGAAAATCCGAATGGTATAGATATTGATCAAGCCCCTACTACTAACAATACTAAGACAATCAAGACTACAATCAATTCAAAACATCAGCGACTGTCCGATAGTGAACTAATTGAAATCATCGATAAATTGTTATTAAAAGCAGAAGAACATGATACTAATGATCAAGAATCCACAAATTATGATGATGAACAAGAACTTGACGTCCTTCAACAGAACGCATTACAAGAATTAAGATTACAAAAAAATGAATTTCAGTCGGCCATTAACTATTTAACTAAGGAATATAACGACATTCTTGCATCGACAATAGATAACACATATAATGTATTACAACTTCAACGTATACAACAACAATTAGAACGCGAATCAAAACGTTGGCAAGCTCGTCTTCCTATTTATGCAAGACGCTCAGATATTATTGAAAAACTGAAAAAAAATCAAGTTCTGATTTTAAAAGCTGATACAGGTTCAGGAAAAAGTACACAAACAGTTCAGTATCTATGCGATGCAAATTTTGCTGACGAAAGTAAGTGATCATATTCTTCTGTCCCTTGTCTTTTAACTTCTAATGATCACATGACTATTTTAGAACAAATTATATGTACTCAACCACGTAAATTAGCGGCACGATCTTTAGCAGCTCGAGTAGCCGAAGAGTATGGATGTCAGATTGGTGATGAAGTAAGTAAATTAATTATCTGAGACATTGAACTTCTATTCTGTTTTAACGTGTACGTTAGGTTGGTTTTCAAGTAGGTGGTGGTCGACCTGCAACTTCAAAGAGAACCAAAATAAAATTTGTTACTGATACACTCTTTCTCAATGAATATCAAAACAATCCAACGTTACAACAATATTCAGTCGTCATAGTGGATGAAGCACATGAACGAAAAATCGATACGGATATAGCATTTGGATTGATGAAACAATGTTTGAGAAAAAGAAAAGATTTAAAAGTTAGTCAAATCGAAATTGAATTTCACAACACACTTTACTGTATGTCTTATTTCTATTTTAGCTAATTGTCATGTCCGCTACGTTAGATATGGATTTACTTTATAACTACTTTGCACATGACTTTAAATGTGACGCATTAGAAGTTGGTGGTCGAACCTATCCAATCGACGATACATATCTTGATGACGATGTTGAGAATTATGTTCAAGCATCAGTTACTAAAGCTATTGAAATACATCAAAGTGATGAAGTTGGCGATATTTTGGTATTTTTAACCGGTCCAGATGAAATTGATTTAGCTTTAGCTGATTTACATAAGAAATTACAAAATGACACATCATACATAGGTATGCCATTACACGGAAAATTGTCCGAAGAAGAAAATGCACGAATATTTGAAAAGATGCCAAATAAACGTAAAATTATTTTCAGTACAAATGTTGCAGAAACATCTGTTACTATTGATGGGATTAAACATGTAGTCGAAAGTGGAATGGTAAAAGAGAAAATGTGGGATGAAAAGAGAAAGATGCAAGTGTTGAAGATCGGACAAATTACGAAAAGTTCAGTTAAACAACGACGTGGAAGAGCTGGAAGAACATCAGCTGGAAAGGTAAGAAAACTAACAGTCAGAACTTAGAAATTATTCGAAAAGATTCAAGCTCGAAGGGTGTGAGTGAAGAGAAGACAACCACCCGCGACCCACACCCACGCTGAAAATTTTTCTTGTCTTTTCAGTGCTATCATCTATACACGATGGAAACTTATGAAGCAATGGACACTTGTTCACGTGCAGAAATTCTCTGCACTCAGCCAACAATTGCCATATTGAAACTAAAGCATTTAAACATTGATAATATTGAATTATTTGAATGGCTTCAATCTCCACCTGCGTCTAGTTTACATGAAGCTCATCAACTTCTGATTTGGTTGAATGCACTTGATTCACAAGGTAAATTGACGAAGCTTGGCCGAATTATGGCTCGTCTTGATATTGATCCAAAATTAACAGCTATGTTATATAAAGGACAAGAGCTCAACTGTCTATCGTACGCATTAATTCTAGCAGGTGTGCTAACTGTATCGCAGAATATCTGGTGGAGTAGTAAAGATCAGGAGTCCAAGGACATGGCTTCACGAGCACGTGCTGAATTCAGTCATGAAAGTGGTGATCATATTACGTTAATTAATGTATATTTAAAATGGAGTGCATTTTGTGCCAATAATAAAAATAAAAAACAACAATATGAATGGTGTAGAAGTAACTCAATTAATGGAAAATCGTTACAAGTGGTTCAGGATTTTATTAGAGAAAAAGCCAAACAAATGGAATATGAAACAGAACTTCGTGATAGTGAAACATTAAATGACGATTTAATTGATCGTCTCTTACAATGTATAACAGCTGGTCATTTTATGAATTTAGCTGTATCAAATGGTCCATTGAGAGCTGGCTATCAAGTTATTTCTGCTTTCTCCCAAATGGCTAGTGAACCAGTGACAGCACGTGTATTTCGTACATCAACTTTATGTTTAAATGATCAAATGCCTAGATTTGTTTTTTTTAATGAAGTACTAAGTCTCAATGGAACTAATTATATCACAATTTTATCTTCAATTGATCTTAGTTGGCTAAAATCTGTTTCACGACAATGGTTTGCAGCTGTGAACGGAGATAATTTGCATGCAATTTCTTATGAAAGCTTTACATTCGAAAATGTAGGAGCAACCCTACTACGAGCTGTTGTTGGTAAACGTAATTGTAATTTGAATAAGCTTGAAGATACGACTCAGGCTATTATTGATATCGATTATAAAAAATCAAGATTAACAATATGCTCACGCAAAGCTAATGTAGAAAAAGCAAAGAAAATCGTTCAAGAAATGATTCAAAAAGAAAAAGAAAAACTACTGGTAGAATCAGAAGAAATACAGATTGTCGGAAGAACTCGAGTTTTGATGGGTGCTGGAGGTGTCAGTCAAATGATTCTGCTTGAAGGTGATTATATTAGAATCATAATGACAAAGTTGCCGACAACAATAACGGAAGAGAGAATTCGAGATTTATGTGAACCATTTGGACAGAGTAAGTATTCATTTCTTTCTGACTTTGAACTTCTATGGGAGATCATTTGCTGAGGTTTCTCGAAAGCGATTCAATAAAAACTTTTTTGGCCTGTGAGACCTTGGGCAGTATAAAAGTTACGCTGCACTCAACTTCAATAGAAGAGACACAAACGTTAAAAATTATCTGAAATTTCTCATTACCCTTATTCCACAACTCATCTGTACTCCGGAAACTTTGCTGTAGACAATAGAGATGCTTACTTTTTTATGTGAAACACAATCTAAAAGGAGTGTTGAAGTATATGTGTAAGAGTTTGGACCTATGTCAAAACAGAAAATTTGTCTGAACAAGAAGACAACTCGACGAATTTTGACAGACTCAATAGTCTAGAACAAACAATTCTAGACAATAGTTTCCAAAAACGTTTACCCGAACGCTCGTTAGCACCGACTCGCAGGCTCTTCACCACTGACCTCCCCACCAGAGACCACGAAAGAAGTAGATATACGATCACAGACTGTATATCAATAACGTCTCGTTTCAAACCTTGAATAACCTCCTTATTGCATTTCTGCAGGATTAAGTAAAACGATAGTGAAGAAATGCACTCCAAAATAGCTCGAATAAAGCAATCTTCTGTAATTAGCAACCACAGTTAAATTGTGTTTCACATTTTAATCCCATAGGGAATGTACTATTAGTGCAATTCCAGAGCCGTGCAAGTCAAGTCAATAGTATAGTTTTCGAATTTTTAATTCACAGAAATGATAGTACACATCTAAGTTAAGTCATTTGTTCATGATATCTTTTGATAATCTCAACGTTATATTTCTGTAATAGTTGATCATTCATGAGTCGAACCATAAATCGTTTATTGATAATTATAGCTGAAATAAAAGTAACAAAGTCAATTCAATGGTGCTAACTAGGGCTGTACCGCTCACGCTCATATGAGCACTCATGAGCGTGAGCGGTACAGCCCTAGTGCTAACCACAATTGTTATAGTGAAATTCGCTAATGTTGGGTATTTTTTTCTTACTGTTCTTATACCATGTTCTACAAATGACAAGTATGACATTTATAGAGAGCTGCGCGAGTCAAGTCAAGTTTGACTTTACTTGCCCAGTTCTCTGCGGTAACAGGTTCTTCTCATTGAAGAATGTTGTTTCTCTTAATTAGGACAATCATAATATTGGGAGTTATGGAAACAATAGTATTGTCTTTGCCTCGTTCAACTTAAATAAAATCCTCCAAAACTCACCGAGCAACACACTAAAAAAAACATTAAAATAGACAGTGAAAGCTTTAAAAAAATTTACCTCGATTTGTCGAAGAAAGGTGGAGGAATGATGGAAAACTTCTACTTTTTCTTTAAAAAAATGGTTTTGAGAGAATGGAAAAACTAAATAAGATTTTTCTATCTTTTAGTTTAATTTAAAATTTTTTTTCTCCTGCCTTAACCATGAAAAACCAAATTTCAGTTCTCGAAATGCGTAGACAAGTTGAACGATACTTCACCCTACCTAATAATAGGTAAAAATCTAAATTGAAAAATGCGAAGCTGTTTTTTATGCAAAAAGTAGGATCGCGCTGTCAGATTAAAAACCAGATTTTGAGATCACTTTTTATTCTTACTCTAATTATTTTAGTTCGTAAAATCGATTTTATTCGACAAAATGAAAACAGCTCTTGTGTGGCAGTGACGTATACAACAGTTGAACAAGCACGTGTCGCTTTCTGTGAATTGAATGGCTATATTGAGCAGGGTCGAGAAATTGCTGTCAGTGATTCGTGTTTGAAAACTGATGCAATCATAGGCAAACAAAATTGTCGTCTGAAAGCTATATGGTATCTGACACAGTCAACTGGAAATGGAAGGATTACTTTTAGAAAAGAAAAAAGCGCACTCGATGCATACGAATTATTTAAAAGATTGTCTTATCAATGTCGTTATGAACGTTTAACTGATGTACCTACACTGAAAGTTGTTTATTATCTTAGTGAACATAGTGGAAAAGCTTTTATTAATTTTGAATCACTCCAGCAAGCACAAGATGCTGTTGAACGGGTAAATAATCCACAGATGATAACACTTACACAAAATAAACAGAATCGTGTAGGGTCAGTTCTATTACAAGGTTTTCGAAAAGATTTTGACGAAGAAGATGTACGCAGTCAATTTCAAGGTTTTAGTGGTCTCGTTGACGTACAAATTTTACGTGGAAGAAAAGGTCAAATATTTAGAAAGCCGAACTCTGCTGAAGATGATATCAAATCAATATTTAATCGCTATGAATCATTTCAACGTGATACAATAACATTTAATCCAAAGATATTTAATGGTAAAATCGAAGCTTTCGTTGAATTTTTGAATATTACTGAATTAAAACAAGCAATGGAAGAAATAAATGGAAGAACAGGAGTTATTGGTTGTGGTAAAGTAAGATTATCGGAACGAATTCAAAAGAGGAAAGATGAAGTAAAGAAGAAGAAAGAAGATGAATATGCTATTCAATTTCAACGTCTTAATATATCATTAGATAAATATGACCTTATTAAAATTCTAAAAGAAAATCAATTGTATGATGACGTAAAAAATGTTATAATTTTTCGTCAAAAATTAGAAAATAGGAATTCTACAACTACCAGGACTACTGTTGCTTTGGAAGAAGACGACATCGGTTTAGTTGGTCTTCGTTCTATGTTTCTTAGTTCAAAAAATTTATTTCGTTCAATACCTGATTGTCAGATACCATCATGCACACCAGATGGAACCGTCACAGCACTCATTCTTTTCAATGATCCTACTGATATTACAACAGCTATACAAACCTATGACAATCAAGTAATTAAACTGTTCAAAGGTTCAAGTAAGCTACGTCTCATTCCGTCGATGGCGCATGAAATATTTGTTAATGCAGCTTTGACAAAAGCTATTCCTGATAAAATTCAACAGGTGGTTCAATATGTTCGTGAGAAGTGTAAGAGAGTTTATATTAAAGCTGTGTCCTCAGAAAAGACAGAAAAAGCAACTACAATGAAGATATTTATCGATGGTGATGATATACAACAGATTACAATTGCTAAAATTACATTTGATAAATTGATGAAGGGAATGGAATATAGGTTCGAAGATGATTCGGAAAAAGTAAGTGTCACGAGTGAAAGACCTAAGCTGTTCAATCGCTTTTTTTTCACCAAATCTAGTAAGGTATCGGTAATCGAGCATGCTGATTCTGAATACCAATACAAGAGCGGCAGCTCCGACTCTAAAGTCCCATTTCTAAAAAACCAGTTTTTCCCAGTGAAAACATTTTGTTCCATGCGGGAATCATAAGTTAGGCCACTAGTAACAGTTCTTTCTTTCCCTTTCTGATTTCTACAAAAACAAAGAACATCATGTTCTGTAAAAAAATCAGAATTGAAAAGAAAGAAATATGTTTCTGGTGATCTCACTAATGGTTCCGGAACGGAACCAGTATTCTCTCTAGGAAAAACCGATTTTCCAGAAAGGGATCTCTAGAGTCCTGGCTGTCAATCTCGTATTGATATTTGGAATCAGCATGATCGATTGCGTAAAGCCCACTAGGTATGGTTGAAAAAGCCATTACATAGTGATGTACTTTCCCTTCTCAGTTCACTTCTATGCCTCCTAGCTTGCTGAGAAAATGCTAAGATATATTATCTTTCCTAGACAAGATTAATCTTTGATCGTGCTGGTACGAAAGTATTGCAACAAATTCAAAACGAAACTGGTACTTACATTTGGTGGAATTATTCAAGTTCTTTTGTACGTATCTATGGCAGTGATCAAGCGTCAGCAATAGCTAGAAAACGTATAGATGAACATATCCGAGATATGTTAAATAATAAAAATTGTACACTTGCCTTAGACATTCCGCCTGGTAAGTGCTTGTCTAAATCACGAATGTGTTGCTTCTAGAGTTTATGATAAGTCAATAATTCTTTGTTTTATTAACAGATTATATACGCCAAGTGTTAAAAATGAGTGCAACTTATCAGGAAACTATTGGAAAAGAACTTAACGTTGAAATTAATATATTAGTGGCTAAACGTCAAATACGAATTGTTGGTAAAGAACAGGACGTCGTAAAGTGTGAAGAAAAAATTAAGAAGAGCTGGTCAGCTATACTTGTAGAACAGCAATCATCGTCTAAATCACTCCCAGTGGCGACTGCCGTTGAATGTCCGATTTGTTGTGAGATGGCTAACTATTTTTTACAAGCTTGTGGACATGCCTATTGCTTAAATTGCCTTAAAACACAATTATCAACAAAATTTGATACAACATTAAGTAATGAGAGTCTTAAGATTAAATGTATGATACCAACATGTGATTCAGCATTTTTGTTACGTGATATTAAAACAATAATTGATCCAAGCAATATGCCTAAATTAGCGCGTGCATCATTTGAGGCTTACCTGAAAACAGACAAAGACATAGGACAATGCATGGGTACTGATTGTAAACAAGTAAGATAACAATCTTCTTGTGAGCAGGATTGTTGATACTTTTTGTGTACTCAAAAAGTGAGTACACTCTAGAATCGGTCAGTATGTCCGTCCGTCCGGCCGTTTACACGATAACTTTCGAAAGAAGAGTCCAATCACGATGAAATTTTCTATACAGTTCAGTCTTTACAATATCTCGGTCGAGTTCGAAGATGAGAAGGATCTTCCGAGCCGTTCCTGAGTTATTGCAAAAATACCCATTTTTCCCTATAGCTTCCTATGGAAAAATCGACCCATCGCTGCTTTCGTAAAAGACTTTTCCTATCATAGTCAATTAAAACCCCAACTATTATATACCATTCAATAGAGAATTTCAAGAACTACAGAATAATATATAAAACAT